TGAGATAATCTACTTTTCTCTAGATTCCGAGTTCACAAATGGTTAATTAAATTTGATTTAAGCATAGAAACACAAATATCAGGAACATAAAAAGCTGTCAGATAGAAAGGCTCTTAGGCATAAAATGGAAACTGCTTTGAAATGCTTATTTTAGCAGTATAATGCCAAAATGGGACATTTTAACAGAATTTCTGTCAAACAAAGCTGTAAATCCTTTACTTTTATTGAGTTTGACAAATTGAAACCAGAAAACCATTCAGGAAAGTTGCCAAAGTACAGAATCTACATTTACGGAATTCATCTCTTAGGCCCGAGAACACAGTTATTTCGTAGTGCATTTCTTTTAGACAATAAATTCAAATTAAAAAAATCGCACCTGCTCTATCTCAAAAAGATTTTTACAGTGTAGTGTACTACTATTGATACAAATAATATCAAAATTATAGAAACTTCTACCAGCTCTAACTCAAAATATTGACAATTCTGTGTTAAGGGGGGCTAAAATTCAGTTTGACAGCTTCCGACATTCTAATTTTTGACCTTTTTTAACTGGACCAAATCACTACTTAACATAAAGATTCAGCACCCAAATTTTTTTAACATGTAATTTCATCCCCTTACTTAATATTTCATGCATAAAATATCAAGAAATAAATTGGGAAAGTGTATAAAAAAAAAATGCAAGTTATACACTGTTCACACTAGGGACTATATTTGTAGACAACGAAAACCAAAGGACGATAACTGTGTCCTTGGACCTAATAGGATAGAAAGACTTGACCAATTTTAATAAAACTTTGCATGACCTAAGCTTAGGCAATTTTAAGATAGTTGGCCAAGTTTCATGGACATAGGATATATATTATAGAAACTAGGGCCATTTTAATATTGAAATTTGGATGTTTATTTTTGACGTTTAAATCAAATATTTTCAGCTGTCAAGATTTTGGCCTAAAAAATTTAAATATTGCAAAAATTTGCTTTTTAAATACTCTTGAATATAATATAATAAGTATTAAAAGCAACGGAACACTCATTTGATTCATCAGATTTTTCACAGTTATTCAAAAGTCAAATTTATATGAGCCTGTGCCTGAAAATAGAGATTTTCGAATTAAGGGAAGCCTTACATAAACATGCATTTTTTTCAACCAATTTGAAGTTTTTGAAGGTTTTTAACCATACATTATTCTTCCATATATATTAAATGTACTTTAAATGTAAAGAAAAGTTACAAAAAGCATACTACATGAGTATGAAATGGTCTTAGGCCATGTAAGACTGAGAATTATTTAGAGTCGATTTAGGCCGTAGCCCATATTTACATATAAAAATGCACACAGAGGCTATAAGGAAGTGAAATTTGTTACTTTTTGCTCATTTCTATGCTAAGATGTCATGATACAAGAAGTCTAATTGCAAAAGGACTCTTGAATTCAACTTTTTTTTGCAGACAGTATGGTCTGATGACCAGTTTTTCACTTTTCAATGGAAAACTTGCATGTAGTTTTAGTCTCATTTGGCATATATTTGAACCACTTACTATCCTAAAGAAGAAAATTATGGTAGCATATGAAATGAATAGGGTGTACTGATCATTGTAAAGTGTTTTTTTAACAGATTTAGTGAAATATTTGTGACGGACTACAGATTTTATGTACAAAGCTCTTCACATTTCACATACATCAAACAGGCCGTTTAACCAGGGACATAAATACAAATATTCTGCACATTTTTTTTGAGATAATCTACTTTTCTCTAGATTCCGAGTTCACAAATGGTTAATTAAATTTGATTTAAGCATAGAAACACAAATATCAGGAACATAAAAAGCTGTCAGATAGAAAGTCAGCATGGCTCTTAGGCATAAAATGGAAACTGCTTTGAAATGCTTATTTTAGCAGTATAATGCCAAAATGGGACATTTTAACAGAATTTCTGTCAAACAAAGCTGTAAATCCTTTACTTTTATTGAGTTTGACAAATTGAAACCAGAAAACCATTCAGGAAAGTTGCCAAAGTACAGAATCTACATTTACGGAATTCATCTCTTAGGCCCGAGAACACAGTTATTTCGTAGTGCATTTCTTTTAGACAATAAATTCAAATTAAAAAAATCGCACCTGCTCTATCTCAAAAAGATTTTTACAGTGTAGTGTACTACTATTGATACAAATAATATCAAAATTATAGAAACTTCTACCAGCTCTAACTCAAAATATTGACAATTCTGTGTTAAGGGGGGCTAAAATTCAGTTTGACAGCTTCCGACATTCTAATTTTTGACCTTTTTTAACTGGACCAAATCACTACTTAACATAAAGATTCAGCACCCAAATTTTTTTAACATGTAATTTCATCCCCTTACTTAATATTTCATGCATAAAATATCAAGAAATAAATTGGGAAAGTGTATAAAAAAAAAATGCAAGTTATACACTGTTCACACTAGGGACTATATTTGTAGACAACGAAAACCAAAGGACGATAACTGTGTCCTTGGACCTAATAGGATAGAAAGACTTGACCAATTTTAATAAAACTTTGCATGACCTAAGCTTAGGCAATTTTAAGATAGTTGGCCAAGTTTCATGGACATAGGATATATATTATAGAAACTAGGGCCATTTTAATATTGAAATTTGGATGTTTATTTTTGACGTTTAAATCAAATATTTTCAGCTGTCAAGATTTTGGCCTAAAAAATTTAAATATTGCAAAAATTTGCTTTTTAAATACTCTTGAATATAATATAATAAGTATTAAAAGCAACGGAACACTCATTTGATTCATCAGATTTTTCACAGTTATTCAAAAGTCAAATTTATATGAGCCTGTGCCTGAAAATAGAGATTTTCGAATTAAGGGAAGCCTTACATAAACATGCATTTTTTTCAACCAATTTGAAGTTTTTGAAGGTTTTTAACCATACATTATTCTTCCATATATATTAAATGTACTTTAAATGTAAAGAAAAGTTACAAAAAGCATACTACATGAGTATGAAATGGTCTTAGGCCATGTAAGACTGAGAATTATTTAGAGTCGATTTAGGCCGTAGCCCATATTTACATATAAAAATGCACACAGAGGCTATAAGGAAGTGAAATTTGTTACTTTTTGCTCATTTCTATGCTAAGATGTCATGATACAAGAAGTCTAATTGCAAAAGGACTCTTGAATTCAACTTTTTTTTGCAGACAGTATGGTCTGATGACCAGTTTTTCACTTTTCAATGGAAAACTTGCATGTAGTTTTAGTCTCATTTGGCATATATTTGAACCACTTACTATCCTAAAGAAGAAAATTATGGTAGCATATGAAATGAATAGGGTGTACTGATCATTGTAAAGTGTTTTTTTAACAGATTTAGTGAAATATTTGTGACGGACTACAGATTTTATGTACAAAGCTCTTCACATTTCACATACATCAAACAGGCCGTTTAACCAGGGACATAAATACAAATATTCTGCACATTTTTTTTGAGATAATCTACTTTTCTCTAGATTCCGAGTTCACAAATGGTTAATTAAATTTGATTTAAGCATAGAAACACAAATATCAGGAACATAAAAAGCTGTCAGATAGAAAGTCAGCATGGCTCTTAGGCATAAAATGGAAACTGCTTTGAAATGCTTATTTTAGCAGTATAATGCCAAAATGGGACATTTTAACAGAATTTCTGTCAAACAAAGCTGTAAATCCTTTACTTTTATTGAGTTTGACAAATTGAAACCAGAAAACCATTCAGGAAAGTTGCCAAAGTACAGAATCTACATTTACGGAATTCATCTCTTAGGCCCGAGAACACAGTTATTTCGTAGTGCATTTCTTTTAGACAATAAATTCAAATTAAAAAAATCGCACCTGCTCTATCTCAAAAAGATTTTTACAGTGTAGTGTACTACTATTGATACAAATAATATCAAAATTATAGAAACTTCTACCAGCTCTAACTCAAAATATTGACAATTCTGTGTTAAGGGGGGCTAAAATTCAGTTTGACAGCTTCCGACATTCTAATTTTTGACCTTTTTTAACTGGACCAAATCACTACTTAACATAAAGATTCAGCACCCAAATTTTTTTAACATGTAATTTCATCCCCTTACTTAATATTTCATGCATAAAATATCAAGAAATAAATTGGGAAAGTGTATAAAAAAAAAATGCAAGTTATACACTGTTCACACTAGGGACTATATTTGTAGACAACGAAAACCAAAGGACGATAACTGTGTCCTTGGACCATATGACTGGGTTGATACCACTACTGGTGGACTGTTAGTCCCTGAGGGTATCATCAACTCAGTTTTCAGTGCTTCCGTACTACTGACATGGTTTATTACACTTTTTTCTTAGATTTTCCGTTGGCATGCCTTAATTTAGAAATCATCATGAAACTAAGGTTCCAACTTCCTCAGTCAAAGTTGACTTCAGATGAATTTGGCTATTTTCAGATCACTTTTGGTCAAATAGCTCTGTACGTGTTTAGGTCTTATGCATTTTTGGCTTTCCTATAGTCCCGTTTTCCCCACATTTTATTAAGGATTATTACGTACGGTTAATATATAAATGTCTGTACAGGTAGATTGGCGCAAACAAGTTACGTAAATTGGCGCAACTGATACCTTTGAAAAATAATATTTGGCGCAAATGATACATCTTGAAAATAGCAATTGGCGCAAAAGGACTGCTGTCATAACTATCATGCGTCCGATCATCAAAATACAGTTAATATAGAACAATTGATAACAAAATAATGGTTGTTAACAAGATCGGATACTTTATTAATGAATTCAATAATAAGCGCCGTTTTACTTGTAAATAAATATTATATTTTCCCCTGCAAAGTTTATTGTTTTTGAAATTTGAGATCTATGGTATAACACAATAACCCCATATTTATAAGAATATCACAAAACAACAAAAAAGTAAACACGGGTCTTTCAAACACAACAGTAAGTGTATATACTTATATTACATGGTATGTTTACCTCCACGAACAATGAGACGAGCTTCAGATTTTTTGTTTTTTACTGCAATGGAATACAATCCGTTGTTATCCTGTGTAGTATTCATTATTGTAAGGGAATGTCCTTTTTCCTTAGACTCAATAATAACGCATTTGGGAATATCTTGAAGAGGACAGCCATCTTTGAACCATAGGACTTTTATTTTTGATCTTCTTATCTCGCAAGTAAATACACAAGTCTGGCCCTCTATGCAGTGTACGTCTTCCAGTTTATTTACTATCATATCTAATAAAAGATAAACAATCTAAGAGTAAGCATATATAATCAAAACAAAAATATATCTATGTTTCAGGTGTCAATCCACAAATTCATCCACTTCAATTAAGAACTCAAAAGTAGCACTAACCTGACAAAAAAATAGTTCTTTTGATGTCATTGTTTTCTTGAACTAACATACAAATGTTCAGAAATTAATGTTTTGCTAAAAGAGAAATATATTTAGAAATTTACTTGTCCATGATTTTGCATTAAAATTGAGGAGTAATGCGCTTCATAGTACACTTATTTAAGATTTCCAGAAAACAAATGGTTATTTTTAGTAGCAGTTTACTTCTGAATGGTCGTGTTTCTCTACAAGACTTTACACATTGGTTGAGAATTGGCATATAGAAAGATGATACATGTCCAATTCAGAATATACCTGGCTTTTATGAAGTTAAACTTAAGGGAAAATATTAAGAAAGCTGTGAAAATTGAAAAATTTTGTTGATTATATTGGGATTTTGAATTGGTGTTCTGACACCTTCATCTGAGATATTGTTCCGTGGTAAACATGTTTTTCTCCCGAATGAACCAAGTTGATCTGTATTATGGCGTTATCTGTTATAAGAACAAGATAAGTTATTTGTCTATTTCTTAATTATTTACATTTAATATTTATATGATTAAACAAGGGGACATATTTCGTAAACTTTCTGCACAAACGATCTCGTCAATGATACATTATTTCGTATAAGTGCGAGAGAGAACTACATAACAAGTGTTGCATAAATCATTTAAAAAAAAAGAACTTCGTTAAATTGCTTGTCTAAGCAATATCCAGTGATCGTTACCATGTTATCGTATCCGTCAGTCCTTTCTGAATTTTATTTCGATACTATCCTTATTTCATTTATTCCATTGCAATAAAATATAAATGAAAAATATCGTATTATTTATATTATTATTCAAAACATAAGTAACGGTTAACATGTCGCTAGAAATTAGCTTAGTACATAGAATTAATCTATTATAGTAAGCATTAGATCTTAAGAGAAGACGTTTACCTTCCATCAAACATCCTTTTATTCTCTCCATTCCCAATATCATAAATGGTAATGCTGAAGTAAACCAAAAGTAAACAGTTTCATAAGCCTATCCGTACTTAAACGTTCTTAAATCTTTTATCAACAAAAGCTTCGTGCGAAATATACTAACTCATTCAGGGAAAATTGGATTTTTCCCTGAAGGTCTGCTATGAACTAGATGGCTGTAGAAGTGAGCACATTTTGACCATGCTTTCAAATTATATGCCTTCTTTTATTTCTTTGTCTAAGCTAGTGGTCATCCTTTTGGTAGCTGATATATGCAAGTTTTCATTTCGTATTTTACATATGATATAACTTATATGTCATTTTGTTTAGAGTTGTCTCATTAGCAATCTTTCCACATCTCCTTGTATTTATATATATGGGCAAAGGTTTGTGTGCACGGAAAACTGGTTCAAGTCCATCACATTATGTGCATCCACCAAGTCAGCCTATCTTGACCATATGTTGTTCGATGTTTTTTTCTGTTTGTTTGTCTGTTTTTATTGGATGACTTGGGAGTTGGTGGATAGTGTGGTCTATTGTATAATCCAATATTTATGGTTATTCCCCCTTATCCTTTTTGTGACGAAGAAAGGGATAATCTTTTCAGTCGTCCACCAATACTAAATAGATATTCATCTGTGTTTTCATAACTTTCAACTTGTCATACATATGGATTGTTATTCGTTTTGATATCTATGAACTTAAACCATATTTTGTATAAAGCTAATATCATTATCTGAGAACAAATTCGTAACGTCATAGTTATGGTTTAATGGTTTGAGCGTTTAAATGAAACCTCAAACGACCAAACTATGGTTTGGGTGTTGGTATGGATATATATATATATATGTCCATCTTCAATCGTTGTTCACTATTCTACGACTTACAATTTAAGAACAAATGAGTTAAAAGGTTAAAGGTCTGATGTGACACATGTACGCACGCCAAGGAATATGTAAATAACAGTTTCAAAATGAAGACAAATTAATACTAATTTTACTTTATGACGTGTATCAGGTACATAATTAGAGTCTGCACAGTCTTAGGTCAAAAGTCCTTCACCACTTTGAGATTCCTCTATATATTTCATATAAAAACACATATTTTTATAACATGGTAAAACACGTACTTCATGTCTGATTTTGCTGAAATTTTTACTGTTAATCTCATAAATGTGTTTGGTTTTTATGGTTATTATGAAATATTTTTATGAAATTTCATTACTGAGAAATCATAATTTATATACAAACATTGAATTAAGTGACATTTTTTCCTGTATACTCGTTTGATTTCTCATGCACAAATTCATATTTGTCATGGAATAGTAATTTCTTTAAAAGTATAAATATATTTCATAAGTATTGCTAGAAACTGTAGACATTTCTGTACTTAATGAAAAAAATTGCATTCAATTTTGGACAAAAACAAACTTAACTAACTGTCCCAGGTTAGGGGGAGGGTTAGCGCCTTCAAACTAGTTTAACCCCCACATTCTGTGTGTGCCTGTCCCAAGTCAGGAGCCTGTAATTCAGTGGTTGTCGTTTGTTGCTGTGTAACATTTTTTTTTCGTTCATGATTTTGTACATAAATTAGGCCGTTAGCTTTCTCGTTTGAATTGTTTTACATTTGTCATTTCGGGTCTTTTATAGCTGGCTATGCGGTATGGGCTTTGATCATTGTTGAAGGCAGTACGGTGACCTATAGTTGTTAATTTCTGTGTCATTTGGTCTCTTGTGTTTTATATGAAATATATAGCAGAATTTTCAAATTGTACATTGTAAAGGGATCTGATTGTTGTTTTTTTTTTACTTAGACATGGTCTTAAATCATCTTATGTAGTTTTTATCGTCTTTCATAACTCTGTTGGGTGACTTGTATTTAGACGTATAGAATGTTTTATGTAATGCATGTGTTTTTGTATAATACAAAAGAGAGACGCAAATAAAATACTGAATTGAATTGAATCTTACATGTATCACTTTGTATAATAAAAACTAACCTAGAATTAATATCCAGAATACCATAACTGGGATTTTCGGTGTATCTCGTTTGAAATAACCTGTTAACAAATGTAACGACACAATTAAAAAAACAAATAATATAAAATAGGTAATAGATAAGCCCCTATTTAAACAATGCAAAGTAGGTTATTCAAGTATAAATAACATTGTAAGACCTATATGACAACATTTTCCCTGCATCCGAAACGGTTAGAGGAAATGACCGTCATCGTCAAACTCGCGATCAAAAGTTTTACAATTTCGATATCGATATCAGAATTTCTCTTGGAATTTAAAAAGAAAAATGCAAAACTAGTCGACCTTTCAACTCTTTTTGTCGATATTTCTCTTCTTTCATGACAATTTTGCTATGATACACCAAATTAACATTATACTGTCTTTTGAACCAATTTTTTTTTACTAATAAGACTTATTCTACAAATGTAAAACTTATACTTATTTTTAACCATTTAGGCAAATATATTATACACTTAGTTACACTTTCGAACACGTCTCTCGAGTTATCTTTTAGCGTAATATGTTATTGAAATTTTGTGTGCAAGGGATAACTTTTGGATTTGCATGGTGTTGTGATCGTTTGCACTGCGCGTAACGTTGATGTATGAAATCTGTTTAGAAATACAGAGCGTTGCATATAGAACTTTTGTCACTGTATGGTCTGGTGTTGTTTTCGTGAAGAAATGTTTTCATCATATGTATAATGTGTGAGCTTTTTCTGCTGTGTATTCTGTTTCTCTACTCCGCTGATCAGATCCAAACTTATCAACCCCGCCACATACTGTATGTGCCTGTCCCAAGTCAGGAGCCTGTAAGCCAGTGGTTGTCGTTTGTTGCTGTGTATCATATTTGTTTTTCGTTTATTTTTTGTAATAAATCAGGCCGTTAATTTTCTCGGTTGAATCATTTTACATTTGTCATTTCGGGGCCTTTTATAACTTACTGTGCGGTTTTAGTTTTGCTCGTCGTTGAAGGCCGTACGGTGACCCATAGTAGTTAACTTTTATGTCATTTGGTCTCTGGTAGAGAGTTGTCTCATTCGCTATCATACCAAGTCCTACAATTTGTATATTATCATCTATTTACCTTTTAACTGTACATGTAAACCAGACCGCTTATTATTCGTATTATTTACCCTGAAAGAAGAAGCACATTTTTAACGTACATAAAACTCGAATAATGTCATTACATTCAAATTAATGAGAAAATTGTCTTCATAATGTAATTACTGAAGCTTCAAACTTGATTATTCAATCACACAATACTCGTCTGACCTTAAAATAACTTTTGTAATTGAAACCTATATGTGTACGTATAGATACTAGTACATTAAATATAATGTACAAATGATATTTGAGTACCTAATCTGCAATTGTAATGCATTGTCATTGCTTGCTTTTCTTCTGAAAAGCCTTGGAGTGTAGTGATGGTCATATCGGATGATTATTTCTAAAATTAACTTATATTAAGAAATTGGAAGAGGCTTGACGATACTAAAGTTTTGGGGTGAGGGGTTTAGAATCAATCTATTAATTAAAACCGATCGATTTTCTCTTGGTTCATTGCTTACGTCTTCAAACTTGACAATTTTAGCATCAACGTTCTAGACATTTCTATAGCTGCATGCACAACAAATGTATGATTGCGATAACAATTATATCAAATGATATACATTTCCATTGTAACTTGAGACTTTTATCTATTGTCCTAGATGGTTAAATTCCTACTCCGCCTGACGGTCTAGTAAACGAAATGATTATTATTACATGCAATTAAAATGTTATATTCCTTGATTGTTAGTTTTATCAAATGAAACCATATATATATCACGACATCATTTGCTTTGTAATTTCAATTGTTTATTAATATTTCTCAATTGTTTCTCAAATCAAAATATACATCTGCTTTCTCTTTTAATATTATCAGCATGAAGTGACCATTCAATTTGACTTTATTAGTATATACAATAAGCGATTGGGTGTATATGTCAATAAGACAGTAACCCAACAAGACATATAACACTTACTGACGAAAACAGAAATCTCAAGAGGTTAACATACACCAACGAGAGAGAAACAAGAATACAATACGAACAAAAAATTAATCCATTGTGTACTTTGGAAGTAACGAACAGCCGTAATCATTTTCGTATTTGATTATCATGCTTGGTTTGTAATAACGAATTGGATTGCTTAGGATATCATACATCATTAACATATTCTTGGCGCTATTATAAAAACAGCCACGCAAATCTATGTTGTGTCGGTGAATTGATATAACTGTTTTGTGCTTGAACATGAACATCATCAAACCCTCTACTTATTGACAGTTACTGTAGACAAAACTTACTTTTTCAACTTTATTTTAGGACAAACAGTGTCTCTTGTATCCTTCTCTTTTGTAATACACTGATAATCTATAATAAAAGAAAGACAACAGATACTAATGAATATTATTCTTGTTGAATAATAATATGGACATGCAAGCCTGTTATTTCGGAGCCTTTTGTACCTTAGTAAAAGATGGAGTTGTTAAGCTCTTTGGTCTTTGGTGGAAAGTTGTCTCATTGCCAATCATATCACATCTTATTTTATATAGAGGGAGCCAAAGTAAGGCTTTCCAAAGTAGATGATCTCTTTTTAACAAACTTGTAGTATACGTCATGTAGTTAGCAATATAGAAAGCCGAGAATGAATTCAGATAACAGATTAGTCTCATTCAAAGGGAATGACTGAAGCATGAATGAAGCGCCCCCCCCCCCCCCCCCCTTAGGTCAGTCAGCGGGCCCCCACTTATGAAAAGTTCTGGATCCGCCACTGGATCAACGATGCACGTGCGATGAATGGTTTGCGTAACACGAAAAAAAATGACGCTGTTAAGTACAGAAATAGTTAGTAAAGAAGGGCATGACTTCTTCAGGCAGGTTAGGTACTTGGCGATATCAATAAAGGGAGATGTATGGTATACGTCAACACTACAGCGACCCAACGATAAAAATAACCAAAATAAATCTTGAGGTTACAATTCAGTCTTTAACAACAGACAAGTGTCCATGCAATATATCAAGAAGCTCTTTCGAATATGACTTTTGTACACTTATGTCGGACACAAGAGACATATGTAACAATGTTTTAAAATCTGAATGATAAAATTGAGAATTGAAAAGGGGACCGTGTAAAAGAGACAACAACCCGACCAAAGAGCAGAAAACAGCCCAAGGCCACCAATGGGTCTTCAACACAGCGAGAAATTCCGCACCCGGAGGCGGGCTTCAGCTGGCCCCTAAATAAAAATGTGTACTAGTTCATAGAAAATGGACGTCACACTAAACTCCGAAACATATAAATGAACCGAAATTAAAAAAACATGCAAGACTAACAATGGCCAGAGGTTCCTGACTTGGGACAGGCGCAAAAACACGGAGGGGTTAAACATGTTTTGTGAGATCTCAACCCTCCCCTATACTTCTAGCCAATGTAGAATAAACAAACACAACAATACGCACAGTAAAACTCAGTTTAAAAGAAGTCCGAGTCCGATGTTAGAATAGGTAACAGAAGTAATTAAGCAAAATGACAATGATAACATAAATTAAAAAAGGACTACTAGTAGTTACTGACATGCCAGCTCCAGACCTCAATTAAACTGATTGAAAGATAATGTCTTCATCATATGAAAATCAAGCACAATCCCTCCCGTTAGGGGTTTAGTATCATACCATCATAAACTATACGAGAAGAACATAACCCGTATCATGCAGTGGCGGATCCAAAACTTTTCATAAGTGGGGGGGGGGGGGGGGGGTGTCCCGCTGACTGACCTAAAGGGGGGGGGGGGGGGGCCGCTCCAGTCATGCTTCAGTGATTCCCTATATAATCAACCAAATTTTCCCACATATTTTACTTTTAAGGATGAAGATTTATCTGGTCCTTGTCCAAAATAATTGATTGTGGCTTATAGTATACTAGCAGCTTAAAGGGAAAGTTAGATCCGATGAAGCATAAGATTGTCCCCAATTTGAAATTAGAAAACAGTCATAAACAAATATGGTTCGAAGCTCCCTATTACCATTGTTTTAGAATAACATGAATCAGTTAAAATAAGTTTGAAATCTTCTTCTTTTCCATATTTATCACTTTCCCTTTTCAGTAGCTTTTTAGTCCTTTACTGATAATCAGCAAAACCAAAATGCTATATGTAATGTGAATAACCACTTCAGAGCATTTTTTGTTATAAACATTGTATAGAATGATTGAAGTTAACATTTTATGTTAGAATTGAAGAAATAGAAAGAAGGAATATTGGGACTTGCTTTTAGATGAGACATATTCAGAACTAAGAAGCAACCATTATGACAGTTTTATAAATACCAAAGACCTAGGCCATGTTATTTTTTGGAAAAATAGGGTATTAATAAAAACAAAAACTATTGTATATGCAGGCAATGGAGACTCGAGTCGACAGAACGAACTTTCCACACTGATGAAGTGTTTATTTGCTATTCTTATAAAATAACCTAATTTTCCAGTAAGTTCAAACTCCATACCCTTACTATCTTTGTTTATATTTGACACTGGACGATGAGCAAAACAAATGAAATAATAAGCTAACCTAATTCAAGGGAGTGAACATATCCAAAACTTGTGCTTTGGCGTTAATTTCTTATGATCATATTGTGTATTTTTCAACACAAAACAAGTGGAATTGCATTACATTGTTTAGTTGATGCTATAAGTTCCTTACCGATTGTTGATTAAATCATCATTAATCTTTATAATTACCTGCTGATAAAAAAGAATCATTGTCACAATGGACAAGATAGCAAGAACAATCTTCCTCTGAAGGCTTACAAGAACATCTTGGTCTGGTAACAAAGGCATAACCTTTTGTGTAGTCACAACGACAGGTTCGATCATTGGTTGTCGTCTCTGTGTCGTATGCTATCTGCCCCTCCTCTGAACAGACTGACTTATCATATACACAAACACTGTGTCCAGTTGTGTTGAATGGAAAGGGCTGGTATCGATTTGATGAACAAGGTTCCGAATCGAATCCAGGTCTAAGTACACGTCTTAATCCTAAATGGTCATTGTAATAAATATATTTTGAATTGAGATAAAAAAAGAAACATTATTTTACTATACGGTATAGGTTTTTCCCATTTTTGAAGTCTGTGTAGTGTCCTATAGTTGTTTTGTTTACATACTTGTCGTTTGGTCTCTGGTGGAAAGTTATCGACATAGCAATCATACCATATCTCCTTACTTTAATATAAAAGTAGAGTATACCGATGATAAATGGATATCTTATTTGGTTAGGCATCAATCAAATGTACACTGAACACAAAGGGAAATGGTATGAGAGGGCCACTTTTTTATTCCTCTTGAAAATTAGATAAGTATTGTCAAACTCCTTCAGAGAATCACAGGATAAAGGTGTGTCGTACATCAGTATTTTATTTTTTGATGAAACATGTCATAACTACTTGGTTTGGGGCTTCTGTTAATGTTAAACTGCAAAATGAAAGCCAAAATAGCTACATTTTGAGATCTTGTCATTAGTATTTGGATATATCCAAAGGCCTTACCTAAAAAGATATTTTGCTACAAGATTATACAAAGTCTTATAAAAAGATGTTGAAAATGCCCTTTTGGGTGATGTCCAAAACCATATAGTTAAAAGACATTTTTCATCAAAACAAATACTGACAACATCTAAAGACAGCTATACATATTTATTTTTACGCGTACAGTTATAATTTGGAATCATTTGCCACAACAAATAGTTTCATGCAGTACAGTACAGGGTTTCAAGAGTATGATCCCAGAATCTGGTTCTTTCTTATTTTTTTTTTTATCTTGTAAATGACAAATAAAAATTTAGAGTCGACGCCCGGCGAATAATCTTCAATTACGTATGAAGGATCGCTAAAAACTGTTAGAAGAAGAAATAATGTCTCTTATCATACCTCCTCCTTTAATATACTGTACATGATCAAAATAGTGAGCATATAATGTATTAAAGGCACATGCCCTCTCTTGCTGAAGACAACTTCTTTTTCTTTGTAAATATATGATATGATTTTATAACTATAAATTCATATCTTTAAACATTTTGTTCCATTTTACCTTCTTGGTCAAAGTCTGGACCTGTGCAATTTTCAGTATATTCTTCATTCAAAATGTAAAACAAACAATAATATGTAATTGAATTGGAGCAACCTATTGCTTCAGAACGATATTTCCAATGCCCAGATCCAGGACACTGCAAGTCAAAGTCTAACACCTCTGGTACCATCAATACCTGTAATGGAGAAAACAATACTGTTTACAATACCTTAAATGTATAAATAATGGGATTGAAAGTGTATTTTACATTAAAACATATTATCTATTTATAATTAATTGTTGCATTACTAGAAAGATGTTAAATACGGATAAAAAACACTTATAATATCTTATCAAATTTAAATTTGTTTATTATTATGTCTCTTTATTTTGCACGATTTATAGAAAAGGAATGATATGGTTTATAAATTCGTGACCAAACTCCGCACACGCACTTGACAAAGCCAAAAGTAAGGAACAGTACTTTTATTATTGTTCTTAAATTTAAAGCCACAATGAGGCCTCATTCATATCTGCAAGTTCAAGACTTCCCGATCACCGATGTAAGCAATAATTTGCTTAAATAGGACAACAATGAAACAAAATCTACATGTACATTATATGCCAACAAAAATCACCTTAAAAGTCGTAATAAAATGTTCATGGATTTTGTATATATACAAATTCTTCAGAAAAAAAATATTTGCCTGGGTTTAAATAACTTTATAGATAATGCATATTTTAAGGTTTATCTTGTCGTATATCACACCGAGGGATGTCAGGATTGATTAAACGAAAGACCGACCGTAGCGTTGTATCGGCCAATACAGCTATCATCGGTCCATTATTACAAACCTCGGACATATAACAGGGCCAATATGAAAACATCCATTCATTATCGTAATAAATTGTCAGACATCCCAGCGGAAAATACAGAAGCAATTAATAAAGGCAACAGTAGTATACCGCTGTTCAATAGTCATAAATCGATTTAACTGAAACAAATTAAGCCATTAGAAAACCACTTTTTATTTTGTAGACCAAGCTTCAGAAGTATATAATATACTGTTTAAAAAAATCATATTCTTCATCAAAGATCAAATTAATGGCAGTATATGTACATTAGTAAATTGTTTTGTTTCGAAATTTTGTGATGAAACAAAATTTTGACAAATTACCAATGATAGTATCTTCAGGTAGCTTATCATCATCCTCGCCAACCTACAATGCAAAAATAGAAAACAAGCATTTTAAATACTGCACTTCAATATTATACAAAAAATTACCTGGAAATTATTGTGATCTTGATAAAGGAAAATATAAATAATCTCTTGTTAATTATGTCTCTCCGTCAAGTTATAAAGACACAACTGTTACCCTAAAATCGTCTTTTTTTCATATACAATGGTTTCAGACCTGTATTCCGACATCTACAGGCAAGCTTGCATGACTGGTGTCACTTTTGTAGGAGGAACTGCTTACCCTTCTATAGCAAAAGATTTTCGTGAGGTTTGTGTTGCTAAATCTTTAGTTTTTTGTGCAGTTTATTTGACGTTCGTTTGTACATGGATGTTCGTCTTTTTTCCTAAGTCAATGGCTTTGTCTATTTTACATTTGGTTTCTGATTTCCCATTCCCTTGGTATATGTCTTGCAGCAACCGAATAAAAATAAAGAAATTCCAGAGTCGACAGGATTTTATATCTAAAACCCTTGAAGATAAAAGAGTGCAGATAGAACCATATATGAATAGTAAACCGAATACATATTGTATCAAGGGGTCGAAGATTTAACTTAATTACAGTTGGACAAAGAGAGATTTGTACGCACATAGTCCTAATGTTTCGAGAAACAAACGTAAGAATGGATTCCGCTTAAATGTATTGTATGATCAATTTGGAATATATGTGATAATTACACCTCTGGGTTTTGATTGGTTGATAGCCAGTGTATTTTTTACCAATTTACTTTTATCAAATGAATATCGTTCATTTTTAAACAGCGCCGGGGTATATGCAAAAAGGATATGCCTTTTTTACCCTCTCTGTCGTGGTATTTGCCAAAAAATACTCTATCCGACTGGACGCTTGTAATGTCACGATCATCAATGCGTTTTATGTCACGATCATCAATGCGTTTTGTACGTTAACATTCGGTGTAATTAAACAGATATAGCATGTTCTTGAGGGGTATTTGCGAAAAATACCAGTCTTGAGAATGAATTTCCCTCGCCTTACGGCTCGCGAAATTTAACATTCTCTCGACTGGTATTTTTCGCAAATACCCCTCCTTAACATGATATATCTGTTCAGTATACAACCTAACCAGAACAGTTAAAACCGTTTAAGGTTGATTATGCCTGAGCGAGTTAGAACATTGCTTCTACACCAATTACACATGTTTATAGTCTATATTGTATAATATATATTATAGTTTGCATCTGTCCTAAGTCAGGAACCTGTTGTTCAGTGGTTAATTGTCGTTTGTTGATGTGGTTCATAAGTGTTTCTCGTTTCTCGTTTTTTATATAGATTAGACCGTTGGTTTTCCTGTTTGAATGGTTTTACACTAGTCATTTTTGGGGCCCTTTATAGCTTGCTGTTCGGTGTGAGCCAAGGCTCCGTGTTGAATGCCGTACTTTGACCTATAATGGTTTACTTTTACAAATTGTGACTTGGATGGAGAGTTGTCTCATTGGCACTCATACCACATCTTCTTATACCTATCTATCTATAATTTAAGACTTTAATACCTCTACATTTCTTTTAATTTTTGTGTCGTTGGGTTGCCGTTTGATTGACGTATAACTCGCATCTCCATGTAATGTAACTTTAAAATCATATCAGTATGAGATTAAAAAAATAAAAGGGACACTTCAAATAGTTTAAAAAAAAAACACAACAAGCAGATAGATATTAAACTTTAAAAAAATGTCTGGGGACACAAAAATAAAAAAGTAAAAAACCTAGACTTTTACAAACTTTTTAGCAAATTAAACACCTACCTTTCGACTCCACTCCTTTTTTGACAACAGCAACCAATTCCTCTATCCCCCCACAACAATATCAGCAGCACCAATGGTTATCATCAGTCGTGCCGCGACCCCTACATAGGAAAAATTGCAACATATGTTTTCATATGTTTAACATATGTTTTTCATATGTTTGAAAACATATGTAAACATATGTTTAGGCCCGACATGAAAACATATGTTTTCGAACATATGAAAAACATATGGAAAACATATGAAAAACATATGTTTTTAAAATCATATGAAAAACATATGTTTTTCATACATGTAAACATATGGAAAACATATGTTTTTCATATGTTTTTTACAAACATATGTTTTTCATATGTTTTCATACCTGGCCTAAACATATGTTTTCATATGTTTGTCCTAAACATATGTTTTCATATGTTTGGCCCAAACATATGTTTTCATATGATTTTATCTTGGTCCTAAATATGTATTTTTTATATGTTTTTAATTGTTCAAATGCATTTATTTTCTCATAGATTCTAAACATGGTTTGTATATATATGTATTTTTTTTTTGCGGTAGGTTTATTAGAGTTATGTTTTGATGTTTTAATATGTTTTTCTTTGTTATCTTTTTTTTTCTGTCAGGAACTCATTTTGAGTGTAAATACTTCATTGTGATGAGTTGCTACTTAAAAAAGTAAATAACCCAAAATACCAAACTCCACAGAAAATACATGGCAAAATCAAAAGCTCAAAAAAATAAAAAAACAACTGTATACAGGCATTCTTTTATGCAGAAAAATAACAGTGCTCCATAATTTTTATATCAAGTAGAATTCTTTTTTTATTAACTTGTTGTCTCTTCTATTTTCATATTTTTGTCTCTTTGACATACCACATTTCTATTGTCTAGTATATTCTATTTTGGTTTGTTTGTCTCTTTGACATTCACCATTTCTATTGTCTATATTCTATTTTCATATGTTAGTCTCTTTGACATACCCCATTTCTATTGTCTATATTCTATTTTCATATGTTTGTCTCTTTGGCATACCCCATTTCTTTTGTCTGTATTCTATTTTTAATATTTTTGTCTCTTTGTCATACCCAAATTCTATTGTCTATATTCTATTTTCATATGTTTGTCTCTTTGATATACCCTATTTCTAATGTCTATATTCTATTTTCATGTTAGTCTCTTTGACATACCCCAATTTTATTGTCTATATTCTATTTTCATATGTGTGTCTCTTTGACATACTCCATTTCTATTGTCTATATTCTATTTTCATATGTCATTATGTGTGTCTCTTTGACATACTCCATTTCTATTGTCTATATTCTATTTTCATATGTCATTATGTGTGTCTCTTTGACATACTCCATTTCTATTTCCCTATGATGTATGTGATATTTCTATTACTATATCACCATACACAGATATTTAATTGTCTTCACTGCTGGCTATTACTGGTGCATGTGTATGCAGCCGCTTTTTTGGAAATATCCTGTATGATTAAGAAAGACAACTATATTGACTTTGAGTTCAATATTGTATTAATCTAAAATTAATGTTCTTTGGTTCTGTTTCTTTACTTTTCAGTTCCTGCAAGTAAAAATAAAAGAACAGAGTTTCAATGTCCACCTAGTCGTACATTTTTTATCTATCAAGGGCAAATATTAAAAAAAAAAAACATGTTTTTTTGTTCTCAAAAATATTTATAAATAAAAAATGTGCTTGGGAGAAAAAAAGTTCTTTTTCTTGTATACTAAATATTTCAAACCGACCTTCAAGGGCATTACTATAATAGTATACTACATGTATAAGTTTAATAAAAAAAAATGAGAGCATTTACGAGTCCATTTTTCATAAATTTATTATTTCCAAGGGGCATAACTCTTTTGAAAAAAGTTGATCGGCCAAATTTATAAAACTTGACTAGGATTATGCTGATATTAACCTATAGAATAAGTTTTAAAAAATCTGGCAAGAATTGTACCTGCAAGACAAATATAAACACCTTACAATCATTCCATAAACATAAAGTAGTTCACCTATACTTTTAGTATCTAAAAAAAAGACCAAATCAAGAGAAATTTAATACTGACCAATGAACCATGAAAATAAGGTTAAGGTCAGATGAAGTCTGCAAGATAAATGTAAATTTAACATAAACACCTTACAATTTCAATCTACAATCATTCCAGAAACCAAATATAGTTCACCTTTACCTTATAGTATCTGGAAAACAGACTAAGCAAGAAAAAAATATCCAATGAACCATGAAGATGAGGTCAAGTTCAGGTGATTACTGTCAGACCCATTGGTGGCCTTTGGCTGTTTTCTGCTCTTTGGTCGGGTTGTTGTCTCTTTGACACATTCCCCATTTCCATTCTCAATTTTAGATCAGTACACCTTACAAACATTCCATACACCAAATATAATTGACTGAATGCTTATAGTATCCAAAAATTAGACCAAAACATAAAGACTTATTACTGAACCATTAAAATGAGGTCAAGGCCAGATTACAACTACCAGTTGGACATCTACACCTTACAATAATTCCATACACCAAATATAATTGACTGAATGCTTATAGTATCCAAAAATTAGACCAAAATATAAAAACTTATTACTGAACCATTAAAACGAGGTCAAGGCCAGATTACAACTACCAGTTGGACATCTGCACCTTACAATAATTCCATACACCAAATATAGTAGACTTATTGCTTATAATACCTGAGATATTGAATTGACCACGAAAACTTTCTGACAGAGTAGACAGACACTAGGACCTTGCAAGGTACCCACATACTAAGTAAATATAAATATCCTATTACCATGAATACTATAAATAATATTAATAAGAGAGAAATTATGAGAGAAATTAACATTACAAAAAACCTTTATTTTTTCAAGTAATCACTGAACCATGAAAATGAGTTCAAGGACAATGGACAGTTGACTGACAGAAACTTCATAACATACATATGCATCTATATACATTGTACATAGTATGAAGCATCCGTGTCTTCCACCATCCCTATGTCGAGCTTTCTGCAACGGAAGTCGCAAGCTCATCAAAAAAACTAAGCCCATTTATTAGTTGAAATACGGAAAAATGAAAAAGAATATTTTCAATATTTTGCCTTGGATACTGTAGTTTGGTCATTAAGAAGCTTCGAATATTCTGTCTCAATTTCACAAAATCCCATGTCTGTTTGACAAAGTTATCGATGTTAAAAAAAAATTTAACCACAGACTGAACCTAAATTTTAGGACAGCGACGCCGCCTCTGGCAGAATCTAGGATCACTGTCTCGCTTTCGTGAAATAAATTTGCATGTTTGACAAAAAGCAGAACATGTATTTCAGATATTGAAATTCTAAGCAATTATAAATACTTATATACTGTTATGGTCCTGCATATTCTTGTGTGTTCAATATTTTGGCATTACACAGTCATGCTTTCTTAGACTGTTTGAAATGACAAATGTTTTGTTGTTACATTAATTGAATAAATCTGTCGAAGGTGAACTGATAGATATTTTAGTTTGGGAAAACATAAATTTTGCATCTTTTATTATTTTGTTATTTCTTTTTAAGTGCTTGTTGATGAGTCCAGCCCTTTCTGGCTGATTCTGACATTTGGTTCTTATGTTGGGTGCTGTCTGCCATACTGTGTGTAGTTTTATTTTTTTCATTGGTTCACATTTTTTCATCCTTATACAAGTTATAGCCATAATAGGTTACTTTATGGTATGGATTTTGATCATTGTTTATGGCTGTACAGTGACCAGCAAATGTTAACATCTTCGTCCTTTGGTTTTTTTTTTTATAGTTGTCACATTGAGAATCATACATGTACCTCATCTCCTTATACATGTTATATCTATATGCTGGTTCATAAAAAAAACTTAAAGGGAAATTATTAAATTGTTATACATGTATGTTTGAAAACTCATTCCTATAATGCAAAAACAATAATTGATTGAATTTTCTTGCTTATTTTAATGTTCAGTGGCAAATATTTTATGTATATTCAAGACAAGAACAACTTTTAAATATACAATTCATAATATAAGCAAATGCTATAATTACTTGAACTTCTGACATCTCATGCGTGTGTGTGTGTGGAGCAGAAGAAGGAGAGCAGGATAAGGATTTCTTGATGCATACTTGACATCAGAAAGACATAAATAAACAACAGTATACATGCCGTAACATGTACAATTTCACTTGAAAAAGTTTTAGATAGATAACATTAAATTATTTAAATTAACTGCAATTCTACAGATGAACTTACTTTGATACCAGTTCTTTTTGCCGGATATCCGCATCTACATGTACACCAGTGATTCTAATACTGCACTTTCCTTTCATTTGGTAACCATGGTAATAAGCTAAAATTGTAAATCTTAATTTAATCCAGAACTCCAGACAAAAACTAGATCATTTTTGTAGATGAAGTATGAACTGATGCTCAGAGTCACTAATTTATATTTTTACTTTTGATTGAATGGAAAAAATGTGTAAGCAAACAACAAAAAGATCAACAGCATATTAATAATATATGTATAGCCTTCTTATGTAATTCATACCATAGGTCTATATCAGCATGGTCTTTTAGTTTTACGAGTTAGAAAATAAGTGCTGATCAAATATGTTTACAGTAGTTATACCTCTTGGAAATAGATATTGTAAGAAAAATTGCATTGCAAGCAATCCCACACATGTCTTCACTTCTTTTACATTATTTATAATTTATGAAAAAGGTTAAAAGAACATACATATTTTTTGCTTTTTGACAGCAAATTTTATATATCCATCAAATGGCGAGGTACATTGAAGCGCTATTCTTTTATTAAATGCATGAAGTATGGATGGTAACACAAATGACAACATATTATGTTCATGAGTTAATATTGCCTTGTCTGAAAATAGTATATGTAAAGTACTAACATTGAACTATGGTAACGTTGTAACCCTAATGCTGTAGTGAATAACGTTATTGTATAGATTTCATAGCTACAACAACAACGTACATTGCAATCATAAGTATTTATTGAGATTCCACAACATGCCTATAAATTGTGTATTTAAACAATTTTGCCTATG